AGCATAATGTTTTTAAGGCTCATCTATGCTGTCTGTTACCTCTTTGAATCCTCTTAACACTACCCTGTTAAACAACAGCAAACTGATTTCACCACAGAGGAAATGGAAACACATATTAACTTGCTTTGGGGCATGAAAATCACACATTCATTTAACAAGTATGTATGGAGCAACCACACAAGCCAGAACTGTTCTACAAGGTGAGGCTATGGCATGTGGGTGTGTTGGTGGTGTCACATAAACAAATAAACAGACAGCTAATGTACTATCAAACAGTAGTGTGTACAGTGAAGAGAAACAAAGCAAAATAAATGGATCAGAAGTGTCAGGGGTATTATTTTAGGTAAAGTGGTCAGAGAAGGGCGCTCCAAGGAGGGGACATTTGAGGTGAGACCTGCATGAGGGGAGGGAGTAAGTCACACAGAAATCATTTCAGGCAGAGGGAACAACACATGCAAAGGCTCTGAGGCAAGAAGGTGTTTGGTGTGTTGGAAGAATGAGGAAGCCAGTGTGACTGGAGGGTGGAGAGGTGAGAGGTCAGAGAATTGGCCTCAGGTAGGTGCAGAGGCAGCCTGGCTAACACAGGGAGTCGGGGAGGTGGAGTATCAGATAATGCCAGCTGGTAGATTTGGTGGTGGAAGAATGAGGAAGTTCTTTCCTGAGCGTTTCCAATGATCTCAGTGTAACAAAAAGAAAAGTGATAAATGCTGTGTGTGTGTGTGTGTATGTGTGTCAGAATTAAGTTGAGAAAGAGAAGAGAATGAACGAACTAGGCTATTCAGTGGTGTCTGGCGGCAGCAAGGGACCACTTGACGTTTGTGATGCGTTTTTCTCCAGTCACATTAATCTCTCCAAGTGTCAGTGCAAAGTATGGGGAGGATTAGTTTTAACCAGGGCTGAGGTCTTGCCAAATAAGTAGGATAATGGGAAAGAGGGACATAGAGTCGAGGATGTATTCAGGGGAATGATAATTCAAAGACCATGCAATCTAAACTGGGAGAGCACGAAGGGGAGTGGTGGACTGGAGGGATGGTGGGATTAAAGTATTGTTGGCGTCTGGGTGCTGGAGGGAGTAAGCTGGAAAACAGGAAGTGATGTCTGGAGATTTTGTAGTCATTGGTTATGACCCTGGGACTGGGTGGCTGAGGTGGGTGCAGGAGAAGATTATTAGAGAAGATAAATTCAGGAAAACAATAGGCCAGGGTATTGGGTGGATCCTTTTCGTGAATCATGAAATCACCAAGAGTGATGACAAGAAAAGTGATGGAGAGAAAGAGATACTGAGGTAGACGTTAGCATGAATGAAGAGGAAGTTGGCAGATGACTACAAAAAGCTGAGGCAGAAGGTGGTACTTCAAAAGAGCTGTGGATTCCTAGGAGGAAGGGAAAATACTGATCTGGAGTTGGCAAAGATGAGCAATAGTTCACCATGATCAGTGGTTTGGGGGCATATGATTGAGCGAGTTAGGATCTGAACTAGTTCTACCTGATTTCAAATCATTTCCATTACACCATCTCAGGGTTTGGAATTACAGTTCTTGGACCTGAATTTCAACATTCTCTTGCCATCCTTGCAGTATAAACTGTTCGGCTGCCCTCAAAGTTGTATTGCTTTAAACAGTTGCCAGGATCTATTTAAAAAATTGGATTCCAGTTAAAATTGCAGAAGTTCATACATTACAACTGGTTAATACGTTGAAGAAACTGGACCCTCTGATCTGTAGTTTCCCATGGTCTGGATTTTGTGATTGCATTCCCATGGTGTTATCTAACATGCTCCTCTGTTCTCTGCAATTCCTGGAAATTGATAATCAGATCTTGAGGCTGATCAGATTCAAGTTTCATTTTTGGTAAGAATACCTCATAGGTGCTTCATCAGAGGCCACATAACGTCAGCTTGTCTCTTCTTCTCTTTGTGATGTTAGTAGTCATTGGTGACTTTTGCCTAGATTCATTATTAGATCCATTATTTCTTTAGGGTTAAAAATGTTGATACTGTATCACATCTTGTTATGAGGTTGACAACTTCAAAAAAGAGCGAATTCCCTTCAACTATGGGTTACCCTGGGGTACAAGTCATGTCCACAGACAGGCTATACCAGTTTACTTTTTCAAGGGATTATCTGAGAGCTCCTATGGTTTTAAGAATGCATATGTTTTGTCTTTAAAGTACTTAATTGTAGCTTGTCTTACTTTTAAAGTTAGACTACATTTATAGGATGCAGTTGTATATTGTGGCTTACTACTTACAGTTAAATGGGAATATATTATAGGATTTAGTTCTAACACCCTTGAAGAGGAATGCACGGAGAAGTAATTCAAATGCTCACCAAGCAGCTTTTCAATGTTCAGCTGCATTTCACAAAAGCTCATAAAATATTAAAATCTTTTCTGAAAGGTGATCAACTAAATAATTTACAAAATCAAAGGTTCACGTCAGAGCAGGTAGAAAATGTCTATTTTCTTTTTTCTATATAAGGAAATGTCCCAGGGCTGTAGTAGCCTTGAAATCAGATAGATGGAGTTTGAATTTCCTTTCACTTATTATGGTGACCTTGAGCAAGTTACTCTACATAAACCAATCATATAATTTTTTTTTAAAAATTGGGGAGGGTAATTAGGTATGTATGTACGTATATATGTACGTATGTATGTATGTATGTGTTTATTTATTTGGAGGTACTGGGGATTGAACCCAGGACTGAGTTATACCACTGAGTTATATCCTCCTCCATCAACTATAGAATACGAGAATCTGAAATAGTGAATATTCTAAAACATTATACATTTCTAAAACATTGGAAAATACATGTCTGCTTAGCAAAAGCCTCCTTTTTATTACTTTGATGGAGGTGGGGGATGAGGTAAGGAATAGTGCCAATTGCCAGATATTGTTAATTATGGAAAATTAACAGAAGAAGTTGCTGTATTGAGGACATGCCACCTTTGATTCTCAGGGCAGTGGTGGTGTAGCCACCTTTAGGCTGAAGCCCTTTTTACTCAATATTGATGGAACTGCATGGCAGACCAGGTAGGTCTGCATCAAAGGATCCCTATAAGGCAGTTTAGAGAGAGAACACTGGGCAAATGCCAAGTTCAACTTGCCTCTGGTTCCACTAAGAACCAAAACTGGAAGACTGAGCAGCAGTGAGACAGAAATGCACCCTAAGCTGCCTAGAAAATAACCGCAACACACCTAGACATTTTCCTTCTGTTGCCGTCAAGTTTAGCCCTCTGCTTCAGCCTGCCCAGCTTCCCAACCGCCCGCTTTCTCCTAGACTGAGTCAGTATGACCCCACCTCTAGACTGCCTCCCTGCCTCACTGGAGCCCTATTATTCCACAGCTGTTTTATCTTTTGTGATAATGTCAACACGTAGTTGTTCGTTCATGGGGCATCAAAATGATTTCCAAGTCAGTGAGAAACAAGTACAAACACTGGGAAATATATCCCCATCTCCTAATTTTCATAGGAATCTGTTGATTAGAAACACATGAAAATTGAGGTAATGGGGGAATAGCGTATAAATTGTTAAAACACCAAAAGGATTGTACACAGTCTGGCTTATAGTCATACCTTGTCACTTTCTTAATTATAATGTGTATAATGTTAGTTTTGTGGACACTGTCTACTTGGAATTACAGTTTTATAAACTTTTTATTGAAGTCTTATACACATACAGAAAAGTGGGATTTGCATCTCTAAAGTCACTAAGTAGCATCACATAGCTATATGACTGCTTTAATTCCTGTTGTGACTCAAAATACATCTTAAAAATTGTGAATTTATGTGATAGAACAGTCTCAACTTTAAAGCATTACATTCAGGTGTGCTGTGCAGCGTCCAACTTACTTCCGAGCAATGCTTAGAACAATGGATAATATTTTATATTGGCCAATGTGTTTCATAATTCCTGAACTCAAGAAGTTGGCAAGTTGAATTGAGACGCCGAAGTTCAGTCAAGACCAGGTTCTATTTTTCTATTCATTTTAACATAGATATGCAACTTATGGTATTCTTAACAACTATGGTAAAGAATAAAAAGATTTTGCAACGGAGAGTTGGAATAGAAACAATTTCTGAGATAGAGATCAAGCTGTGTTTATAGACACCATTGGCAGCTCTACCATCAGTCATTTCCTGTGGGAATATTTCACTGGGGCATAATTTTACGTCTTGACTAGTCATTAAATAGCCTTGGTTCCATGGAATAAAAAGTGTAGAACTATAAATAGTAATGTATGCAAATTATGGTGTAACATTTCATTGTATCTTCCTAGATGAGAATTAAGATTATTTAACAAACTATGTTCTTACTCATCACTGAAAGAATTTTAAAACAACACTAATAGAGTATGGTCTAGTGGAGAGTTAAGCAATAGACTGGAAATTAAAGCCATTTGTTTCCTTCAAATTAAAGTTGACATTAGTTTAAAAATATTTGTCCATCATGTACAGTGTATAAGATGCTATTCCTATACCTTATGAAGGATAAAACAGTCAATTAGAAGTCTCTGCCCTCGATGGAGTTTATGAATTTTCTTGTATGGAGATATGGTATCCTTTGTATAAAACAAAAAGTAGTAAATACTATGAAGGGATACGAGTAAGATATTATTAGAATTTGGAGGAAGGGTGATCATGTCCATGTGGAAGATCAGAGATGTCTTCATAAAGAAGGCAGCTTGGGGGTACAGCTCAGTGATAAAGCATGTGCTTAGCACGCACAGCATGCGTGAGGTCCTATCCCCAGTACTTTCATTAAAAAAAGAAAAAGCCAGTTGAGTCTTAAAGGATGGGTGAGATTTCTGCAAAATTATTCCACGAGGTAGAGACTAGATACTAACAATGGTAGTATAGATTAAAGAATATTTACAGGCTGGAGACTCTGGTAAGAAAGGAAGAAGAAGGAAAAAACAAAAGGAACTTACAGAGAGATATGTAGTTTGAAATAGGGAAAATTAGAGAGGTAAATTCTTTTATTCAGCTATGGAGGGATTCGTTTATTCAACAAGTATTTCTTGAGTACTATGAACAAGTACTGTGCTAGGAGTTCGAAGTACATTCATGAACCACTCAAAAACCCTTTCTAATACGTAAACACTAAAAAGTGTTAACTCGAAAATCAGATTGATTCTCATCAATCACAGAAAGGCCCACTGATCTGTGGCAACACGAGGTACTTTACAGACATTACACAGAACATGGAATTTAATGTTTTTGAGAGAGTTGGTATTTTCAACGAACATTGTTTCTTAATTTCAATCCAATTGTTTCTCAACCCAGTTTTAATTAAAACGAAGCGTTAGCGGAGCGATGGCGGAGGCTATATTGAGGCTGTCTTACAAGTTTTGGTTTACGTCAGAATTAATCTTGTGTTAACATGCATTAACTGAAAGAAAAAAGAAAAACAAACTTAAAAAAGGGACATTGGTCGTTATATTTTGGACAAAACGATTTTTCCTGATTAAAAAGGAATCGCTCCAAGTTTCCTTGAAATAACTAGCTCCCTGTACAATTCGGAACGTTTCTAGAACACACTGCACTAAATGAGATACACCTGTACTCATACCTTGTCCGTCAAAACAATCTTTGTTTTCTCTCAAGCTAGGACTTGCATATTAGACACGCCTCGTGCCATGGTGGCAATGGGGTGGGTGGTGGAGGTGACGGAGTGGCAGCCAGGAGGGCACTTTCCCTTTCTCTGTCTCCTTAACCAGAACTTTGCAGCCTCCGGCCCAGACTCACCTTCCCGCTCGTCCTTTTTCCTGCCTGACCCTCAGTGCAGCCCCGCGCTCGGTGCGCGCACTCTCGCATCCCCCGGTCCACTCGAGCGCTCACACGCCTCCCTTCTCGGCGGCCCTGCGCCTCGCCGCGCCCGGCGTCGCGCGCCCACCCGGGGAGCGCAG